ACTTAATGTCTGAATGAAGGCAATATTTCACCTGTGACCCAGGACAAGGTAGTAAGTATAATATTTCTGCTAAAGATCATGTGTAATTTTCCCTCCATTAAATAATAAAACAGAAAACAAATTCTCTTCGATAGCTCTTTTCTCAGCTAAAGCACACTGTTAAATTTAATTTAGTCTATGCTTATGGAGTGAACTTGTGCTAGATAAAGGGGAACTATTACCTATAACTTTGGAAAGTGCAGAAACCAAAATCTGAGCAAGCTTATTTTCCTTTGTTCTTTCCCACATAGAATTTTTCTATTAATAATATGTCTAAATTTAAAGTGGATGTATGTTATCTGTCAGCTATTCTAAATCATATATATTATGCTTTTACTATATCCTCTGGATTTTTATATGTGTTAAAGAAGTTAACTCTTCGTATGGAAATTTGAATTTTTTCCTGGTATTCCAGACCTTCTATATGACTTGCCAATTGTCTGGTTTTAGTTAGAAGAGCCTCCTCAATGAAAACCAATGTACTAGTTTGTTATCTTTAGCACAGCCTGACTATAAGGTTCAAGTACCAGGAATCTAACAAAGTGGACTAATGAGGTCTCCAGGACAGTTTTGATACGGAAAAAAGAAAAAAGAAAAAAAAGATTAGATGTAGGGTTAACATAGACTCTTTAAGTCAATATAGGAAATGAATTTAGAACCGTTTTGGTTTGCCCATAACCAATTACAAGCAACTGATGTTAACACATCTGACCTAGTGGGATTTTCATCTAGAAACTGGCAACATTTACCAATTTCACAGCTACAATTCGCTAACCTAATATCTCTCAGGCCAACCAAAATAAAACAATACCATAATTTTATAAAGACCAAAGTAGCTTAATTTGAAGCAGCATGAAAGAAAAAAACGGATAGTACTGTAAGATGGGAAATGACCAGCATTAGCTCTGGAATTTAAGGCATTTTCAGCAGAAACTCATTATGAAACGTCTAAAACTGATTTTAAAAATTCCTCTGAAGGTGATCAAATTATTTAACAATCGGAGTGCAAGTGTTTTAAAGTATCTTTTTTCCTTACCAATGTTTTCACATGAGGAGCTGCTATTCTCTTTCATTTCTCAATGATTTTATTTATTTCATTTATTTCACCTATTTCATTTCATGGAGAATATTTTTAAAATATATTCTCTTAAGAGGATCAGAGTCAGTAGCTGGGTGGATAATAACACTGTTGATTGAAGTGTGGAGCCTGGAAAGACAAGTACTCAAAAGCCATTTAAATGTGTACATTCTGGTGTGTTTTATTAAAAACAGTTTTGAAGCTATGGGGTGTGCGTGTGTGTGTGTATGTGATATATACAGATTCAATTTTCCTACATAGGGTTGCATTTACTCATAGATGTATAGATCATATGTGTATAAAGTAAACTTTCAATTATCCAAGAACAAGTTAACTTTTTTGGGGAGTAGAGGTTGGTGTGTACAGATTAACCATAGTTAAAAGCAATCATAGAGGACTGTTACCATTAAATGACTCTTAATCAGCTACATATTAGGAGTTGTTTATTATTTAGAACTTCACAATAGGTAATAAACACCACAGCATCCTTTCTCCTACCACATGGGAGATATGTCATATACTGGATTCATGCTATCTTCCTCTACTCTATGCCCATCCTTAGCACTTTGCAATGGCCCTTAGAAAAGGCTAGAAGGTCTGATAGCTTGCGATAGGACTGGAGGACGTAGGTGAGGAAGGGAAGGCACAGAGAATAAAAGATACATTTCCATTTCAATTCAACCCCTAAATTTGAGACCAACAAAGAAAAAAGTGTAATTTTCTAGGAAACAAAAATAAATAACAGATTATAAAAATAGACCATGCTATTTCTGTTTACATAATTTATGCCCATTGATGAGCATAGTTTATTTACATAGTTTGTATGCTTAGTGTATGCAAACGTTTGAACTCTTGTTTTCACTCTTTTGGTTGTAAAATAGCAAACCTGTTGTTAAATGTCAGATGCACTTCAACCAGTTCATTTGCATCACATAACTATTCTACAATGTTTTGGCTTTTTTTAAACATTGATTACCTTTGTTTTCACATTGAATTGACATGTGTGACTGCCATGCACACCCTCTTCATTACCGTACTGATTATAGTCAGATAAATAGATACTGATGCATGGATGCATGTATGGACTCCCCTTTACCTGGGAAGGGGTTTGAAGACCATTGTGAAATAGTTAGTTCCGAAAAAACTGCTTTTGAGCACACATTTGGAGTGATGTTGAGAGGGTGGTAAAAATTTAGGCAATTCAGATAATGTGTACAGTAACGTTCAACAGCATCTTCGAGAAAGCCCCAAGAGATCCTGAAAATCAGAGTGCAGTCCGCCCTCCCGTCACACTGCTGTCAGTATTATTCCAGCGTACATTAGCCTGTTGTTTTCTGTGGCTGCCACACAGTAAATAAAAAATCACTAGCATTTTTTAAAGAAAATGTTTAAGTTTTCTTCAAGGAGAAGTTCCTTCAGCAGTCACTGCTGCAAGCATTATCTGTGAGAAAGCTGCGATAATGATGGAAAGCTATTAAGATGAACTAGCAACAAAGACCATTGCAGGGGGTGGGGAGGGGAAGAGATAAACTGGGAGTTTGAGATTTGCAGATGCTAACTCCTGTATATACAATAGATAAACAACAAGTTTATACTGTATAGTGCAAGGAACTATATTCAATATCTTGTAGTAACCCATGATGAAAAAGAATATGAAAACAAACATATATGTACATGTATGACTGAACTATTATGCTGTACACCAGAAATTGACACAACATTGTAAACTGACTATACTTCAGTTTAAAAAAAGAGGATATTATTTTTTAAACAAGGAAAAAGGGAACCTCTCCATGCAGGGGGGAGATGGGATCCTTCAATGAGAGTGGAATTCCCGATACTCATAGTATGGCCCAGCTGTTTGGGAACATTAAAAATCCCTTCACTTAAGCTGTTGAAAGCTGCAAAAAAGACCAAATGTTTTCCATCTCAAAACACATTTTACTTAGCCGTGTTTTGAAAGCTGTTATCTAAACATTGAGAAAAAAAAAAAGCCCAGCATATTTTAACATGATTTCTTCCTCGGGTGCAAATCAGCAGTTATAATTTAATTGAGGAAAGAGAGTGAAAAAGGTAGAAGGAAAAGGCACATTTTATTCTCCTACCTTTGTGTTTATCTTTCCTTAAAGTACTTGAAGGACATAAAACTGGGAAATAAAAAAGTCACCAGCATACAGTTTTGTTAACTTATCTTGTGAACATTAAACATTATGCCTCAAATTTCGTATGGTACATAAAGTGTTTCGCCTTGCAAGATCGTGTATACAGCACTTCAAAAAAGCCAGGAGGACAGCTCACTAAATGTAATGGATGTGTAATGGCAGATCTTTAGATCTCTTGTATTTGGCATGACAACTCTGGGTTCTTTAGGTGCTTTAAACCTGATATCTAAAACCATGTATTTTTTTCCCCAGTGATGAAAAACATAGACTAATTACAAACTTCTCTCATGCTGTAGAGATGGCTTGACCATCCGGTGCCATTGCAACATTCTGATTTCTCTATGTCTCCTTTGGTTGCTGAAATTAATCAGTTTCACAACTTCATTTTCTTAATATATTTTCTTGCTAATTCTAGAATGAATACTAGAATGAATACTTGCTGAGCAGAGTCACAGTGGAAATATGTTGTCTGATGGTGCAATAAACAATTTATTTCTATTAACTAACAGTTTTAAGAGATGAAGTCTTAGAAGCTGTCCTATGACCTGCATCCAGATGTAGCTTCAACAAAATCTTCAAGAATACTCATTAGGCAGTTTCAAAAGATACCTTGAAACAAAGGAACCAATTCCCACTTTAAGACTTACTTCGATAAACCAATTTATTTCCTGTAAAAAATTATGTTGGCTATTATGTTGACAAAACTTGTGTCAGGAAACTTTACTAAGAACGTGGCTTAGACAAGGAATAAACATGACATGGGGTCAGTGCCTTGCACCCGAGATGCAGACCACAAATGGTTTTTGATGATAAAACACAAGGAAGTTTCAGAGAGTGTAAATAATCAGATAAGGAAGCAGAGAGTAAGGACAGACATGCTCAATTTTGGAGGAAACCACCACTAAGAACCCCAGGTGACCTTCTTTGGGCTATGAGACGTAATTATGGTTTAATGACATAATGTTAAAAATTAAATCTCATTGTTTTTACTAGCATCCCTATTATGAAAGATTCATAGTTGTGGACAAAAACATAAGAAATTGCTTTGTATTCTTTTATTTTTAACCTTTATGTTTTTACACAAATCCAAGGGAAGAATGCAAAATGAAAATAAAAGATACATGTTCTAGGGTCACTTTTAAGAACCTTAAGTAGATTAGAATTTTGCTTCTAAGTGCCCCTCTTCTCTGCTTCAAGTACTGAATTCCTTTTTCACATGTGTTTTCCCAAGTGACTATGATGAAAATACATTAATCAATGAGAGGGTAATTGAAAAAAATGGGTTGATGCCACAAACTGAATATTCATACACATTTGTTCTTACTCTGATTATGACTGAGGCTTCGGAAAATCATGTTGTGTCCCTGGCCTCTGTTTTCACATCCACAAAATGACTGTTAATTACAAATATGCAGTATAGATGCACCTGCGTTGTAGGAGTTTACATTGGTCTTGATAATACCCCTATTGCTTACTTCCTTTACTTATCTGATCTTTATAATGAAACTGACATTAGTCTTCCTTAGGGTCCCTGTGAGTCAGTGGTTGGCTCAGAGCGATCCTCATTGCCAACTCCCAGTGTCAGATGGATGACATCTTTGGCAATTTACCAGGCCAATCTTTCAGGTCTTTATGGCTGAAGTAGTGCAGCCTCAGGAAACAATCATAGCAGAATATACAGTCAGATTAATCAGGATTTAAATCCCATCTTTAATACTTACCAATTGTGTGACTTTGGGCAAGTTATTTACTGAGTACAGTTTTGTCATCTGTAAAACAAGGATAACAAACATTTACAGGCTGTTAATGAGTTATTAGAGGAAATGATGCATAGTAAGTCCTTGACATAGAGTAGGTGCTTATATTTTACCATCCTATCATCATCTCTTGCTTCTGTTACTTCAATAGCTTGCTAAGTGGTCACTGGTGTCCACTTGCTCCACCCCAATATATTTGCCACATTGCTGCCATTGTGGTTCTTAAACATGAGAATTTGGCAAGGACCATGTCTGATTTTTCTTCAGAGTGAATGAATGCAAGGGTGAAATTAACAAGACTGACTAATGTTAGAAATAATCCATTTAAAATACACTTGATTTTAAAAAAAAAGCTAATGGATATCTTTTGTCTACATTTCCAATCAAAACCAAATAATTTATTAAAAAAGTTATTGCAACACAGAAAACTGCAGTGGGTGTATGTATTTAGGCATTATGCTATGATTTAAAGGTGTTTTGCAGTTTTGCTGTTGTTTTTATTGTTACTGTTATTGAAAGTGAGTTGACTATGTCTTTGGTTGTTAAACAAAATAGGAAGACCCATTATCTGAAACAAAATGTGTTCTAGTTTATCTACAAAGCATTGTCTGGGTATGTACCTTCAGTATGTATTCAGTTATTCTTAATTTAAGAAAAGAATTATGCCAGAAATTTCATGAGCTACTTACTGCTTTTATATTTTACCAGAACAGTTATTTTTCATTGTCTTTCATTTGTGCTGGCAGATTCACCCAGCATAGAGTACAAATCCATCTGCTATATTAGAATATATTAGGAAAATTGATCTCTTTGTTTAGAACACACACATGAATATACATATATACCTAAGCTACTACAGTCTATATTTTAAAAACTTTGGGGGATGTTATAGGGAAGATAAGGAACAATAGGATGCTGAGTTTTATCAAAGAAATTGAAAAAACATTGGAAATACACTTAGCCTAACTCTAGCACATGGAAAGCTCCCAAGGAATACTCCTTTCCACTCCTAACCAGCCTTTGAGTGAGCAAAAGCCCCACCTCCTCCATAAAGCTTTCCCCACCACACCAGCCTTTACGCATCTCTTTCCTGCCGGAATCTCTGTAGCACTTATCATTCAAGCCACATAATTTAGTACTTAATGACTTACAGTCTTGTACTATTTGCTATTCTTTCAAGTAGCTTAGTCTTGTCTCTCTAAATAAATTGCCTGGGACTTTACAGCAGGGACAATGGTTCACACTAATATTTTATTCCCTCTGGCTTCTGAACCTTATCTGGCGGCATATTTAGTTGGTCATTTTCAACCTGTGAATCAAGAGTCAAGGAACTGAAGAGAGTGATGTGAGACTGGGCTAATATCCCAGAGTTACTCTGAAACCCAAGAGTCCATGTAAGATTATGTGTACATGTATGTAAACATGGCTGTATGTACAAATAAGGAGATTAGAAAAAGAATTTCAAATTAGATGTAGACTTCCTAACTTGTAGCATGCTTGTGATATATTGTCACATGCGAAAAAGGGAAGTTATAGAATAATATATAAATATAACTATTTTGGTGAAAAAAGTATATATATTTCTTTATTTTGTGTGAGCAAAAATACGACAAGAAAAAAACACGAGACTGAATATCAATTACCTCAGAATGATGAAACATGTTTATGTTGTGTTGTATAGTTCATAAAACAAGCATGCATTGCTTTTATAATTTGACTTCAAAAAAATGTTCAAAAATGAAAACTTCAAAATGAAGTGGAGTGATAAATGAAATTACCAGATTCTCTAAGGGAAAAAAATTAAAATTTAATTTAAATCTAGTTTCTTTGCCTGGATAGATGGAGAAGCACTGGTATAGGAGAAAAAAGAGTTAGCTAAGAAGTTCTGTCTTCCAGGCACTGGTCTACCAGGGTGTCTACCAGCACCTACCAGCACTAGGACCTTGGGAAAGTTCTCTAACATCTGCCACTCTTTTCTCATTTTTATTGTGATAATTTTACTTGTCATGCCCATCATACCCTCTCATGGATTTGCATCATTCATTAATTAACTAGTTTAAATGAAAGCCCCTTGCAAAGGATAATGTGTTATCCCTACTCTGCTCTCCATCACATCTGATGTGGTTTGGCTGTTAGTTATGAAAACCTGGCAATCTCTCTGGGAGCCTGTAGAAATAAGCCAACAGCCACTTTATCAGAAGTGGTTGCTGCTCCCAGGAGAGCTCCTGCAACCACAGAAAAAGGGGCAATATCCTAGTCTATGAAAGTGATGGGAAGAGAGAGAAACATTGGTTGATAATATTATTACCACATTTAGCACTGATATTGCATTGCCTTTCTTCTAGGTTTGGGCTAATGTTGGGGAAACTCTAGGTAAATAGTTTATCAGAGCACTTTTATGTTCAAAGATCAATATCTTAGTCATTTTATACACAATAACAAAAAATCAGCAGACTTTGCAAAGCAATTTAACCCTAATCTGGTACATACTCTCAAACCAATTGAAAACTCATGATCTACTAAGTGATGGCTCTGGAAATGAGAAACAAATCTTTTTGAAATCTTGTCATAATGTCACCACTCTGTACCTTATGATCAGTGTTTTTTTCTATTTTCAATCCCAGATAGCCTAAATTCCAACAGGCTTTTTGGAAAGTTTTCCAAAATTTGGCCTTATCAAGTCTTACTCATGAATGCTTCTCAACTTTATGGCTCTTGGGATATCCTAATGAGTTTCTTGAGCAACAGTTCATGAGAGGAACCAGAGGCAAGTATTTGTTCCGTGGGGATATGAAACCACCTCTTTCTGGCTGCAGCAAGGAAATGGCAAGATGAGGCCAAGTGCAGACTGGGGTTCAGGGGTGGTGCTCCTTCATGGCCCTGGATTCTCTGATAATCAAAGAAGGCCAGGTAACTGAATTGTCCATATCCACCAAAGATATTTGCCTGGCGTTTCTGTTATCTATTGCTACATTTAAAAATTACCTCCAAACTGAAAACAATAATAAACATTTATTGTCCTCAGATTCTATGGCTTAGAATTCAGAAGCTGCTTAGCTGGCTGAATGGTTCTGGCCCAAGGTCTCATCAGGTTGCAGTTAAGACAGCAGCTACAGTCACCTGAAGTTCTGCCTGGTGCTGGAAGATTCGATTCCAGTCATACTCATTCACATTTCCGGCCCCAGCCAACAGAACAAATTTACACACCCAAAACTGAACAACCTCTACTGAGATCCTCTAGATTCACACCAACATCTTACTCTGCACATGTCCTTTTTCCTTTTTCTTGAATGTTTCACCACGCATTGTCTTCACATTTTGAAGAATTATATCTCTTCATAGACTATTGACTAAAATGTACTCCACACTTAATTTGTGTTCAATGTTTTTTTTTTAAAAAAAACATGTATCACTTCCAAGAGAATCATGAAGATTCCTATTTCGCTTCATGTGCTTTTTTTTGCCTATCTCCAACAATTCCTTTGTTAGGAAATATTTCTCCCCACCTCCACCCCCCAACCCCCAAAACTGGGATTCCTACATTAGTTGTTAGGTGCCATTTTGAATTTGCATTCCCATCATTTATTTTGGTTAGTTTTCTCTGGTTCTGTATGTTTCCATTTCTGTTTCTCAAAAACAAAATGCTGCCTGAGTGATGGCAGGTACATCAGGAGCAAAACAAATATTTGTTTCTCTTCTGATGTAAAGACATCAATGAAGAAAACAAACCAGAGAGGGTATTTATATAGGAGGTAATAACTGTTTTATAGAATTAGAACTCTCTTTAATAATAACTAATGTTTATTAGGTACTTATGGGCTGGGCACTGAGCTAAGTGCTGTGCATGGATTGTTGTATTTAATCATCTCAATAGCCCTGTGAGATACTATCATTATCCTCATTTACAGGTAAGGAATCTGAGATGATAAGTAACGTGACATGTCACTCACCTAGCACATAGTGAAGAAGCTGCGATTTAAGCCCAGGCTGTCCTACTGTGGTGTCTGTGCTTTTAATCACTATACTGTTTTCCCTCCTTATGAGTGTCTACTACATACGAGGCATTATACTAAGTTCTATACATATATACATATATACACACACACACATACATATATACGCTAAGTTCTATACGTATATATATATATAAAATCTCCATTGTTTAATCCTAATAACCTCCTATGATATAGTTGCCATTACCACAATTTAAAAAATATTGAAAGAGAAATTCAAGAAGCTTAAGCAACTCTCTCATCATTTAGCTAGAAGCAAACTCTACCCAGGGCCTCAACATCAGAGGGCTATGACATAGCAGGCAATCGGAGATGAGATTGCTCTTGGGCCCAGGGGATTTTATGATTTGCACAGAGGAAACCTGTGGTCTCCTGAGCCCTAGGATAAAGATCTGACTTCATTATGGCAGCTATTCAGCCCATCGCCTTCCCTGCTAAAGTCCACAAGAGGCAGGGTGTTTGTGAAAACAGACTGTGGCATTGCCACCAGATCCGAGGTGTGAATGATTTGACAGCTGAGTCATGTGAGTCATGAGCCACTGGGATCACCTGGACCACATTAAACAAAATTATTGGGAACAGGGAAGAATTAGAAGAGAAAGGTTGGCTTGCCATCCACAAGTTCTTTGGCTGGAGGATATTCTATTTGACTTCATTATTTATCTCATAACTGGTATGGAATACTTTCAAAACTTAAACCAAATTCAGCAAATTTGCACTTTTCTGAGGGCTTAGATTCTGCAGTGAACAAGTAATTGAAAATCAAGTGTAGTCAAAACTTCCCTTGCTCAGCCCTTAAACCACCCGGTGTTGATATAGAACCATCTTGGCTTTAGTTGAGCGTAAGAAAAGTGGTGTATTTGTATCTAGTGGATTTGCATTTAGGTGCTGCACGGTGTGAAAAACACATCTCTGTAAACCTGAAAGTCACACTCATTGCAACAAGATATTCAGTACAAAAGGCATTTAAATACTGATTCCTGCTAAGGGAATAGATGG